TCCCAGGCTCCAGAAGCTTGTTTGGCCGTCTAGCCGCAGGACCCCCGAGGCTCAGAAGATGGCCGGCGAGAGCAGCACCAGGCGCCCCCTCTTCGGCGGCGCCATCTCCACCGCCTTACCCGCCCGGTTCCAGGTACTGCAACGCCCTTCTCCCTCGCACTCATCCCTTGCACCTCCTCCTCCTGCTCGCGCTGACGCCGTTTCTGTTTGGTTTGGTCAGGATGTGAGCAACACTCGCGAGGTCCCCGACCACCAGGTTCGTCCGGTGCCCCCGTTTAGTGTTGTTTGGAGCGCGCTCGTTGGGGCGTTCCCGTGCTGATCGATGTGTGTGGTTCTGCTGCCTACGCAGGAAGTTGTCGTCGATCCCGCCCGTGACGAGAGCCTCATCTTCGAGCTGCTCGACCTCAAGGGCGAGGTGGAGGACGGCGGCAGCGCGCTCTGGTTCCTGCGCGACGTCGCCAACGAGCAAGATGCGGGGGATAACTTGGTAATGTCAGCAGCATCCTGGTCCACTCTGTCAATAGCTTGGCCCTATAAATTTTGTTTCATTCCTCTGCTTCATGTGCATTGGATTGTCATGAACTCACGGTTGTTAAATTTCCGATCCAAGTGGATTTTAGTCATGTTGGTAACTTATCTCATTTTTTTTGTCGGTTAGGTGGTCGAGCACTCTGGTACAGTTGAGTTGGCTGGTCTGCGTTCCGGGGAAGCACCTGCAGTGGCTGGAACTGCAATTGGCAAGCTGGTTAGCAAACGTCCTGTGCCATATCCAGATTACCCTGCTCCTTGCCTTCAATCGACCTCCAGTTGATTAGTTTTCACCTGTGCTTCCCTGGATATGATACCTTTAGTTGCACAAGTCAGCTCAGTCTCATAATTTGATATTTCTGTTCCTTGGCATTCATTATATGATGGCCACTTCGCACTGGCAGTGAATAAAATGTACTTAAAGGATCTCATGCTTGATTTCGGCATCTGTAGGCTGTTTCAAAAGGGAGGCAAGGCAGAGAAGCACAGAACATTGTTCGGGTGAGTACACCCATCCCTTGGAATTATGGTTCAACAGTTAATGCTTGTTTTTTCAACTGAGCGTTGGGCTACCTTTGCAGCTGTACTTAGCAAACATACGTCTCAAGGATGCAGCAACTGATGTAGTTATCACCGCATATGAGCCGCTGTTGATAAAGTAAGCTGAGTACACCAGTATGACATACTTCCTATGATTAATGGGATTTTAAAAGCAATCCTATATATTTTTTTGTTTCTTATTTAGATATGGAATAGCTAGTACTATTCATTGTCATTTGTTAATCACTTAATCTTTGTATGACTTGATTATTATCCAGTGATGTGCTTAGGAGAACTATGTATTACTCCCTCTGTCCCACAATGTAAGACGCTTTTGCAAGCTAGTTTAGCTTCCAAAAGCGTCTTATATTGTGGGACGGAGGGAGTATTTGATATAAGCTTTCCTTGCATATAAGTCTGATATATATCAACATGTTTGAATGACGATCAATAACTTCTTATGCAGTAACAATTATGCTTACTAGTCATAAGTTTTTTCAAACTCCTTTGTCTCTGTCATCTTTATAAATACAGAACGATAGGCCTGCTGTGCTCAAATATTTCAGTCAGTTCTCTATCTAAGCTAGGCACGTTGAATACGATTGTATATCGTAGTAGTATGGTCAATGGCAGAACTAAAATTTAAATATGAAGAAAATAATTACTTTCCTGATGATGGCCTGTTGTGCTCAGGCCCTCGGTTACTTCCTTCAGTTTTCTAGCTCAAGCCCTCAGTTAGTTCCTTCAGTTTTCTACCTAGGCTAGTCATGTTGAATGCTATAATAGTACCGCGGGGAGAACAAAATGCCAAAATTAGATTTCTTTTCAGTTGAAAATGCAGATGACACGGCATAATGATGCATCACAAGTAATGTAGAGATAGTCGTATTAGATCTGAGTCAAAGTAAGCAAAATTAGTATGAACTTTCATATCCAAATTAAACGACTAGCTAGGTTGTTGATGCCTTGATTTTTATGCTAAAGTATTATGTTTGTGCTGACCACTTCTCCAATGTTGGGCTGCCCCTTGAATGATATATTTTTGTCATTTTTATTTCAGTCCTTTGAGTGAAAGTGCTCAGGCCGTTGCAGCTGGACCAGCAGTGCCCGCAGAACAGGCAGGATGCTTGCCAATGTCTGAGGTCTTCAGACTCGCAGTCATGAACTTCGATGTCCATGATTGGAACCTTTTCAATGGCAGCGGTTGAAGTAGAGGGAGACAACGCAGGATGGGGCCCCGAGGCCGATTCAATCGAATACGGGTACCAGGTCCCCTTTGGTGGGATTCACGTCTTCATCGGCAAGATTGGCGAACCGGGCCCTGAGCCGGACACCTGCACCGACATCATCGAGACGGCTCAGCGTGCAAGACCTTCCCCGGTTCAGCCCGTGGTGAAGCATGTTTTCGTAGGTGTCATCCATGGAGCAGAATACGAGGACAGACCATCGTCCGATGGAGAAACTGTTGTCTGTTCCGATGATGAGTCTTCTGGAGAGACCGAATCGCTCTATCAGTTGCAGGATGGCCGGATTAGTGGAGGTTCCGAGGGCAATAGTATTCCGGACTCTCCTGATCTGCCAAACCGGGCCGCCATCTTCATGGCCGGTACACAGTCAGCGCCTCACTCATCAGCTGCCACAGCAATACTCTCCGATTCAACAACGGCCACGCCAGCGGGGGCAGGAAGCTCTGCGCCGCCTCCGGCTCAAGTCCTGTCTGACTTGTTCGACACTTTGGCAACACTGATGGCCGCAGAGGTGGATGCAGCAGCCCAGGATCAGCACAACACGGAGATTGCAAAGGTGAAAGAGCAGATAGCTCAGGCTAAAGCGGACTTAGCAGCAGAGAACGCTAGGATGGCTACAGAACAGGCCGAGTTGGAAGCTCAGGCCTACCGGATTAGGCTGGATCAGAACGCTTCCAAAGAAGTCAGCAGAAGAAGATACCGATCGCATCTCCCGTCGGGTTATGAGCCACAAAATCTCTTCAATACGCCAGGAGCAGGAACTAGTAACCAACCAATATTAAACCGGACAAAGGCGCCAGGAACAGGAGCGCCGGTTCAGCCGCGCACGATGGACCCGCCTCGTCAGAACAACATTGTGCCACAGTATGTTCCAACACCTTCCGGGCATTACTCCAACCCGTTGGACAACATTGTAGCCGCCGCTTCACGATTGGCAGCCCTCCCGACCGACGGCGAATCACCAGTTGCAATTGAGGCACAACGGGCCAGAGATCTCCTTCAATCAGCTCTAAACCAGCAGCAGGCATATTCACACAGCCGCGAGAGGATTCATTCCACCCCCCGTCCAAGCTGGAGCTACAGCAGGCACGTTGAGGATGAACCGGCCGTATCAAGCAGCGCATGTCACCGTAATCCACCGCGAGGGCACAACCCGGCAGGGGGAGGTGCTAATGCGCAGGATGTGGTAGACCATGGTCGCGCGCGTCGAGAGGCCGAGTTAGCAGCTCTGCACGGAGCCCGTCAACCTACTCCGGTTCACCCTACCGCTTTAGTGGAGCCAGGTGTGGTATTCAGTTCCTTAGGGGTGCCATGTCTTACCCCCGCTTTGCATAATGTGAGACTGCCCAAGGATTTCAAAGGACCTCATAAGGTACCCAATTATACCGCCGATCTGCAACCAGAGGCATGGGTTGAGAGCTACGAGATGGCAATGGAGATGTTAGATGTGGATGAAGCAGTATGTGCTAAATACTTCACCATGATGTTGGAAGGAACAGCTCGCACTTGGTTAAAAAGCTTACCAACTAACTCTGTGGGATCCTGGGCCGAATTGAAGCACCGGTTTATCCAGAACTTCAAAGATAGTTGTAAGCAACCCATGTCAATTGTGGATCTGGCCGCTTGTGTCCAAGAGGATGGGGAGTCCATGACCCATTGGGTGAAGCGGGTCTCAACTATTCTGCATTCATCGGATCGTATCAATGCAGATACCGCAGTGCTAATGTTGGAGGGCAATTGCCGTTTTCTGCCGCTCAAACAGAAGTTAGGAAGACTCAAATGTCACTGCAATGATATGTCAACGCTTATGGACGCTTTGGTTAAGTACGCCAATTCAGATAATACCAAAGACCCTGACTCAGAGGAGGACAAACCGGGGAAGGGGAAAAAGAACGACAACACCAAGGGTCAGCAACATAATTCGGCAGGCCATGGGAACAATGGTAAACGCAAGGCCGGCAACAGTCTGGACTTTGTGGCTAACACCAATGCTCAGGAGAATGGTCAGTGTCGTAAGGGTAAGCAGCCCTAGAGGGGCGGAGGTTCAGGCCCCAATTTGGAGCGCCTGTTAAATCAACCCTGTCCGAAGCATGGATCAAAGGAGAATCCAGCATCACATCTTTGGAAGGATTGTTACATCATGTGGGATTTCAAGAATTCCAATATGTTTCAGTATGATAATGGCCCGCCCGGCGGTTCAGGAGGTGGTTTCCACGGGTCGGGTTACAGAGGTGGCAGTTCCGGTTCAGGATTTCAGGACAATCAAACTGGACACATCAATCAAGGGCACCAATGCAACCAGGGAGGTTACAACCATCAGGGGAACCAGCAGCAGCAGCAGCAGTAAGGTTATCAGAGCAATCCTAAGCAGTCAAATGGGGGGCAATATCATGTCTTCACCACTAGCTTGTGTAAATGTGATCAGAAGCTTCATATGAGGGAAGTGAACTCTGTTGAACCGGCGGTGCCTCAGTATTTGCGCTGGTCTGAGCAACCCATTTTATGGAGTAGAGAGGATCACCCGCCCCGGGTTGACAATCCAGGTCATCTGGCATTGGTGGTGGCCCCTCAAGTTGGGGGATATAAGTTCACTAAGGTACTCATGGATGGGGGAAGTAGTATCAACATCCTAGATTATGATATCTTCCGTCGTATGGGGTTGACAGATAAGAATCTTAAACCGTCAAACACCGTTTTCCATGGTGTGGTGCCTGGTAAGTCTGCCTATCCAGTGGGCAAGATAGCCTTAGAGGTGGCTTTTGGAGATGATCATGATTCAAGATCAGAAACATTGACTTTTGAGGTGGTAAAAATCAAAAGTCCGTATCACGCTTTGTTCGGGCGACTGGCTTATGCTAAGTTCATGGCAAGGCCGTGTTATGTTTATCTGCATCTTAAAATGCCAGGTAATAAGGGGACCATCACAGTACATGGGAGCAGGAAGATCGCTTTGGAATGTGAGGAAGGTGATGCGGCTTATGCTGAGTCGGTTTGTGCCACGGAGGAGCTGAAGTTTTATAAAGACCAAGTTGATCCGACAGATATGACTTCTTTGAAAAATCCAACTACGGAGCACGATCCAGCGTTGAAGTTTAAATCAGACATAGATACTAAGATGGTTGATTTTGTTCCTGATGATTCATCCAAACAGTTCAGTATCAGCGCTAACCTGGATCCCAAATAGGAAAGCGCACTCATCGAGTTCATCCATGAGAACCGGGACATCTTTGCATGGAAACCTTCTGACATGCCAGTTGTACCGAGGGAACTCGCTGAGCACACTCTTAACGTTGATCCTAAGTTTAAACCGGTCCGGCAGTTTCTCCGCCGCTTCAATGAAGAAAGGTGCAAGGCTATTGGTGAAGAGGTAGCTCGGTTGTTGGCCGCAGGGTTTATCATGGAGGTTTTTCACCCAGAGTGGTTGGCTAATCCGGTGCTGGTTCTTAAGAAGAATGGTACTTGGCGTATGTGTGTGGATTACACAGACTTGAACAAAGCTTGCCCTGCAGACCCCTTTGCCCTCCCTCATATTGATCAGATCATTGATACTACAGCGGGTTGTGACTGTTTGTGTTTTCTGGACGCTTATTCTGGTTATCATCAGATCAAAATGGCAGTTAAGGACCAGGAGAAGACAGCTTTCATAACTCCCTTTGGAGCCTTCTGCTATGTCTCCATGCCCTTTGGGCTCAAAAGTGCCCAGGTGACTTATCATGCTGTGTTCAAAATTGTCTTCATAAGCAGATTGGGCGCAATGTTCATGCGTATGTGGATAATATTGTGATAAAGTCTAGGAAGGAGGAAACATTGATAGATGATTTGAGAGAAACCTTTGACAACCTCCGGGTTTACAAGATGATGCTCAATCCGGAAAAGTGCGTCTTTGGTGTTCCGGCAGGCAAACTCTTGGGTTTTTTGGTGTCAAATAGAGGCATTGAGGCTAATCCGGAAAAAATTTCAGCAATTACATCTTTGGCTAAACCGACGTGTATCAATGACGTTCAACATTTGGCCGACCGGACTACGGCTTTGAGCCGGTTTATCAGTCGTCTTGGGGAGAAGGCTATCCCTTTATATCAGATGCTCAAGAAAATAGATGATTTTGTCTGGAGCGAGGCGGCTGATAAAGCATTTGAGGATCTGAAGAGGCAGTTAGCTGAACCGCCTGTGCTTGCAGCCCCGATCGATAAAGAGCCGTTGTTGCTATATGTGGCTGCTAATGCCCGAGCTGTTAGCGTGGCTATTGTGGTGGAACACAAGGAAGCTGGCAAGGAATATTCAGTTCAATAGCCGGTTTATTATATCAGTGAAGTGCTCATTGAGTCAAAGCAGAGGTATCCACATTGGCAGAAGCTGGTGTATGGAGTGTTTATGGCAAGCCGGAAGCTTAAGCATTATTTTGAGGGTCATCCTATCACAGTGGTCAGTTCAGCCCCTCTCGGAGATATCATTCAAAACAGAGAAGCAACTGGCCGGATTGCCAAATGGGCTATTGAGCTTGGACCTCACGGGCTCAAATGCATACCTCGCACAACAATTAAATCCCAAGCACTCATGGACTTCATCAATGATTGGACAGAATTGCAGCCACCAGAGGAAAAGCCAGATAACACGTATTAGACTATTCACTTTGATGGATCCAGGCAGTTGGAGGGCTCGGGGGCTGGAGTCATACTAACTTCCCCACGAGGTGGCAAGTTTTGTTATGTCCTCCATTTAATGTTCCCTTGCACTAACAATGCAGCTGAATATGAGGCCTTGCTCCACGGTCTTCGGATGGCTAAGGAGATGAACTTAAGCCGGGTTAAGTGTTTTGGGGATTCAGATCTAGTGGCCCAACAGGTGTCTGGCACTTGGGATTCTAAAGACCCACTCATGGCTGCATATCGACGAGAGGTGGACACAATGGCTGGTCACTTCAAGGGTTATCAGGTGGACCATATAGACCGGCGAAAGAATGA